CGGTAATTCCCCGGTTCCTTGGCTTTTGGGATGGGAACTATGGTAGCCCTCTTCCAGCTCTGCGGCAGAGAGGAGGATTCCCAGGATTTGTTGATGAGTTGCAGGAGTGCAAGCTCACCCTCTCGTCCTAGGCGGGAGATGATGGGATACGTGATCCCGTCGCAACCCGGGGCTGTGTTGGAACTGAATTTATATGCTTTTCGAAGTTCCCTCAGAGAAAAGATAACATCTGAGTTATCGGCTTCGGCTGCCCTTTCTCTGATCTGAGCAAGTCTGTCTGCTTTCAGGCTTTCTTGTTTGACCCTCAGCTCGGCTGGTAGACTGTTGCTGCTTGTTCTGTCAGAGAACTCGAGCGCCAGTCTGTTTGCCTCTGCTTGGGGGTCGTGGTGCGTTCGTCTCGGGGCTGAGCGGCTGGTAGCTCGCCTGACCCGTTGCCACAGCTCTGAGAGGCTGGTATGCTGATCAAAGGATTCACACCATTCCAACCACTTTTCCTGCCTTACTCTGTTGGCAGTTTCCTTGGCATCCCTGACAGCCTCCCTCAGCAGTGCGAGGTTGTCGGGGGTTCTTTGCCTTCGGAACAGTCTTCGGCACATGTTCACCCTGTGGTTGACCTCCCTGATCTCGTCGTTATAGTACCAGGCGTCCTTGTGACGCCTAGACCCGAACCGAGTTTGAAACGGCCGCACCATCATGCCGACACGCCAAGAAGGTCACCATGATGCCCGGAGTACCGCGGGTGGCAGCCACGCCATGCCGAAGGCTACAAAGGGGGTCACCGTGATGCCTGATTGACGGAACTTTGCCGAGGGTGTTTTAAAGAGATGATTTTAAAGAGATCAACTGGAGCCACCCCTCGGCAACATCAGGTCGGCTCCTACGTGTTGCCGGGCGCCTCGGCGCCCGCCCTCGTTGCTGCCACAAAGTTATTTGCTTGCATCTAACTTCGTGCCCTATAGCCTACTCTTTCCTTTACGGATTTTTTCGGCATTAGGATGACTCTCTGTGCACCTTCTGGTGAACTGGACCCCATCTTCGGGCTCGTGCTCGGACGTGGGCAGACCTTTACCTCCCGCAGGGGAGGGTGTGTCTGGGGGGCCTTAGCGTGCCTGCCTTATGGTGCACAGAGAGTTGCCAATCTTTTTGCTAGGGACTGGTCTGGCAGACCATGTTAATGACTGCCACTCTAGTAATTCGTTTAGGGCGATAGGCAGGTAGGAGCCCCTCCCCCTTTGGCATTAGCTCTGTCGAAATAGCTGCTGCTAGACAGAACACTGCCTTATTTAGCCGCCACTGGAACCGCCTTGAAAAAAGTTAGCTTCTCTCCCTCAATGTGGTGAAGCAGCCTTGACTGGCTGCTTCTGAGGGGCGAAAAAGCTTCCTTGAAAAGGTACAGGCCTCCTCCTTTCTCACTGTGGTAAACAAGCTTTGGCTGTTTCAGAGGAAGGAGGAATTCACTTTGAAAAAGGCTTAAACCCTCTCCCCTCCCAGGGTTGAGAGGAAACAGCTGGAAAAAGTGAAAGAGCTCCATCCCTCATTGTGGAGAAGCAAGCAACCATTGGGTGATTGCTTCTGAGGGATGAGCACAGGGTTCCAAACAATGATGTTCAGTAGGTGGAAGAACATCCCCTCTGGTCTCTCCCCAGGGGTTCACACCTACACCGGCTCCTACAACGATATTGTCCCGCCACTGGAACCACCTCGAAAGGCAGCTTCTCTCCCTCACTGGAGGGCTGAACGAGCTTCCCTGTAAAGGTGCAGGACTCCTCCTTCCTCACTGTGGTGAAACAAGCTTTGGCTGTTTCAGAGGAAGGAGGAAATCACTTTGAAAAAGGTTCAGGCCCTCTCCTCCCTTGATAGGGATGAGAGGAACCTGCCGGAAAAAGTGAAAGGGCTCATCTCTCTCCGAGGGACGAGCACTAGGGTTCCAAACAATGATGTCCCGTAGGTGAAAGGACATCCCCTCTGGTCTCTCCCCAGGGGTTTACACCTACCCACGCGTTTGCCGTGCGTGGCAGCCTCGTGCGCTGTGGAGACGGGAGTCCTGGAGTCTGAGCGATGCCGTGAATGAGTACGCCCTGCGGCTAGCAACACGCCTCTTTGGTCCTCTATTCCAGCAAGACAGGAGACCTGATCCCGGCCCGGTCACGGTCAATCGGCTGGTCTCCCACGAGAGGCTAGGGCCAAGCAGTCATGCCTCCATTGGCACTCACAATGGTCCGTGAGTGCCGCCACAATGGTTATTGGCTGCGTATATCCGCTCATCACCCCTGTGGCTGTCAGACACTGGCTCTGACACACAGCTTCCCCTTGTTGGACTCCGTGGTGGGTGGGGGCGTGAGAGGATGAAGCACTTACCAGTATATGGAAAAATTAAATAAAAAACCCCCACTAGATAAAAATGTTGACGAACCACGCAATGCCCAGACCACGGTAGCCACCTTGGAGCCATACATGGCTCCAGATGGCGGAATAGTCCATCAGAGAGTGAAAGAGATGGACTCTCGTGCTGGTCTCTCCAGACCAGCACCCAAGCCAGGGAAGCCTCTGAGTCCCCCTCAGGTGGCTTCCCTGACAGGGGCGCGAGCACAGGCTGGACCAGCCGAACCAGCAGCTGCTCCCCCCACGAACGAGCCCACCAGCCGACAGGGCTCACAGAAGCGACCAAGGCCGGAGACGGACTCTGACGGAGAGTCCGGACCCAGCCACAGTCGCTTGACCCATTTCAAGGTCCCAGCCAAACCAGAAGGCTTCGACAATGCCTACCAATTGGTGAGAGCATTGGAGAGGCACAGAAAACTCCGGCTCTCAATCCGAGTAGCCCGAGACCAAGGCATGATCATAGTGCCGAAAGATCGTGCCACCCTGAACTTCCTTCGGGAAATCAGGGAACTCGCAGATGGGAGAAAAGTGAGTCTTTCCCCATTG